GAACATTTTATAGTCACAAACATACAGGCACACTTAACGTAAAGATTTAGTGGTACAGTTTTTATACCACTAGACGTAACGGAACTAACACAAAGGAGTTTGCATGACAAAAATTAGTAAAAACTAGTGCATTTCTTAGATTATATAAAGGGTGACTCTTAGTAGGAGTTGGTGATAATGTGGCATAGGAGAGCATGAGAAAGAATAAGAACCCCATTTAAGATGCTTCTCACTATTGATGCTCTAAAGTATACTTAACTTACAAGGACAAACATAAAATCACACTAAGTTGTCTAAAAATAAGTCCGAACAGCTGGCAGTGGTACACTTATCGTTCACGAAATGTACCATTATGGTCTGACATATTGAAATGACGGGTGACGAAAATGGCAGTTCCCCAAGGAGTTGTCTTGTCAAAAGAAGCACAAAATCTGGCTAATGGTACAAGATAGTCACTGGTGGTACATTTGACGTTGTATTCAGTTCAATTACATGTACCACTATATGAATTGTTTTAATTTTTACCTTCAGTTACGGTGGTGAATGTTGAATGCTCACCTTGTTGCAGTCTAGGTGGCCTAGGTCCAGTACTCAGAGATTTCGTTTCAAAAGAAACACACATTCATTCCAGTGGAACAATTTATAGTCACAAATATACAGGAACACTTAACGTAATGGTACACTTTTTGTACCACTATAAGTAACAGAACTAACACAGAGTAGTTGAGAGTGAACTTAGCGCATGCTCATAGTTACGAGTATAAAAAGGGGGGCAAGTATTAGCTCGTGACTGGTTTCCTTTCCTTGGAGCAACAGAAATTGCCAAAAAAAAAGGGTAGCCAAAGAAATAAGAGAGTGGTGGCTGATAAGGGATTGGACGTTGATAAGAGCCCAAGCCGCCTTATGAAGCGGTTAGAATTCATGAAAAAAATGGGTATCACGATGCAAATGGTGTTGTTCGAGACTTTTACCTCCCCAAAAGAGATAAAGAAATGATGTTTGCCCACCAGTCAGCCACAATTGCTCGTGGAGGGCTTGAAAATCCCATAACTGAAATAGATTTCCATCCGGAGTACCCTTTCCTAACTCCTTTTAAAGTAGGAGGTCCCGGGTACTTTTGAATGGAAGCATTCTGTTTCATGCACTACGTTGTTGATGCTTACAAGATCACTGTAAGTGTGAATCTCCGTGAGTTCATGGAAAACATGATCTACTGGATGCGATATCCATACTATTGCAGAAACTTGATAAAATTTTGGGAGCTTTTCCTCCCTATGGGTGATTGGCATCAAAATGTTGAGTACATACTCAATAACCACTGTGAGGAAGGTGATAAATTTGGTCTTCTACTACTTGGTCACGATTTCACGTCGAACTACGACAAAGATTTGATTCACGTGACGGTAGAGTGGCTGAATTTCTCTGCAGAGGATCCTTTTGACATGATCCATACGAGCGAAGAACAATGCATGTATTTTAGAAGCAAGATGTTGGCTGAAAACAGGTACGATGATGAGATGCAACACTTAGATCTTATCACCAGGGAGCCATTTCAGTAAACGACTACCCATCTTGGTATGTGCGCCGTTTGACCGAGGCGAAGGATAGGTTCGAGAACAAGTCCAATCCTGATTCCGGTGACTTATGGGATGGTTATGAACCTGATTATGGTGACCCATATGGGGATTCGTGGGAAGGGAACCATGATTTTGTGTTCGACTAGTTACGTAGTGTTCTGTTGCATTTTCAACGTTAGTTGCATGTACGCATTACCTTTCTTAGTCTTAGTATGTATTATGACTTTATGTACCACTGGCCAGTTAAATGGTATCATTCTGTACCATTCTCGTTACCACGGTACGTCTTACTATGTTTAATGTACCACTGGCTGTTCAATGGTACTTGGTTATGTTTCTTGTCATAAAAAACTACTTGGGTGTTCTTTATAGGGACTCATCGTCTAATGTACCACTACTGTATTAAGTGGTACATTCACAGCACTAAATCCTGTTATTAGTGGGCTGTAATTTTGTAGTGGTTGACAGACCTTTGTGTTAGGTACCAGTGCATATGTGTTGTTTCTACATGAAATTGAACTAGTTGAACTACATAGATCTGCATATGGAAATTTTAGCATACATAAGCGCAAACAATCTTTTGATAACTAGTAATGAACTACGCTACTACTAACCACAGTTGAACGAAAACGACAATTACAATTTAAAATAAACGAAAACGGCAATTACAAAAATAGTCAGCCCAAATTTTACGATCCTTATGTGTTCGTGCTCTAACACCTCTACCCGTCGAACAACGCCGCCAATGTTGGTTGGTGGACCATCCTTGATGAGGTCCGACTGAACAACCCACTCCCAGTACCCGCAGTGGCGACATTTGTAGTACGGCCGCTTCTGATTCTTCTCCGACATTGAGATCCAAAATTCCACGAGGGTTGCGTCATCTCCCAAGCAGTTGCAAGTTTTGACTGATATCCATGAGATGTTCGCAGATGCAAACGACCGGGAAATTGTTTGACTTTTTGACGATGCAGAGGACATGGTTGACATTGTAAGTAATTTATGAAGAAAGTGTTTGAGAAGGACGGTCACGTTTTTGGACAAATGACTGTTTTCACTCCAAACCCAAGCATATATAGTGGAGTGAAACCACAAAGAGCGAGAAACTTCCTTTGTTTAGACGCCAGTTTTCCACCATGGGCCCCATTTTATATATGGTACCCTCTGTTTCATAAAATGTACCACTCTGTCTACAATGATACAATCAACACGTGAAAAAGTACCACTGTAGTAAGGCCTTCACAAATTTCATTGTCATTAGGTTAACGAAGTCAGTAGTAAGTTTGATTTCTTAAGGAGGACTACATAAAAATACTGTTCATTGCAGGGTGTAATTGGTTAAATCATTTAGCAATCGACAACAACTAAGGTCATGACCGAACCAAGCAACAACTGAATAACTCAAACGAGTAACTGAGTTCGTTAATGACGTAAATATCCCAAAGGTTGTGATTACGGATTTCAGGTACATGAAAGGGTTGTGCTTACGAAATCATTAAAAGATTACGAACTAGTTACTGAGGCAACCTGTTACATGTAGGTCTTATTAAAAAAATATTAGTGAAATCGAAGATTGTCATTAAATAATATCCTACAATGTACTACTATCAACGTAAATCTCCCAAAGGTTGTGATTAACAAATCATTAAAATATTACGAATTAGTTAATGAGGTCTACTCTAGTAATTAGTTATTTTTTACCAAAGATATTAGTGAAGGCTAATAAGAATGATATTAGTGATACCAAAATTGTGATTAAACAGTGCCCTCATATGAAGGTGTTGTACCACCATGAACGACAAACATGCATTTTCCTTTTCAGTGGTTCTTTCTATGAGGTCATTTGTACCACCCTGACTACAGTGGTACCCTAATTGTCTTAGTAACTTAAGGTACATATTGTATTACAAAGTAATTAAATTAGTTGATGAGGTAAATATCCAAAAGGTCGTGATTACGAACTTAAGGTTCATATGGGGGTTCTGAATACAACTTCATAAATTCATACATGTACGTCTTTTTACTGAGGTAAACTTTAGTATTCATACATGTACGTCTTTTTAACAAAATACTGGTGAAGCAACAACATGTCATTAAAAAATGTTCTACAGCGTCCTACTCTCAACGTAAATTTCCCTAGGGTTGTGATTACCAAATTCATTGACATATTATGAATTGGTTAATGAGGTCAACTCTAGTAATTAGTTATTTGTGACCAAAGATATTATTGAAGCGTAATAAGAATGATATTAGTGATACCAAAATTGTGATTAAACAGTGCCCTCCTATGAAGGTTTTGTACCACCATGAACGAGAAACATGCATTTTCCTTTTCAGTGGTTCTTTCTATAAGATCATTTGTACCACCCTGACTACAGTGGTACCCTAATTGTCTTAGTGGTACCCTCGAGTAGATGTATTGCATCTGGAACTTGAAACTTAGTTAATGTATTATACTGAATTTAAGTTGTCTGTATTAGCACATTATTCAATTATTATTATCCCATACCAAAAATTGTAATTAGTAGAAAGTATACTTGACTTACAACGACCATAATAAAATCACACATATTCCAGTGGTACTCTTACTGTTCGTGACTTGTACCATTAATTATTATCTGCATGCGTTTAAATAACATATTGAAATGACGTGTGACGAAAATTGCAGTTCCCCGGATTTAGCGTGCGTAATTTCTTTTCCTTTTTAGTGGTTCTTTTTATGAGTTCATTTGTCCCCCACCCTGATCATAATGATACCCTAATTATTACTAATGTTGTCTTATTTGAATTTTTATTAAAAATGAATATGAACTTGGTATTTAAGAGTCATTTTCTTTTTGTAAAAATAATAATGATAATAATAAACTGCAATTTTTTGTATTAAAAGATAGTAACACGTTGTTTTATTTTTTTTTATTTTTTATTTTTTATTAAAAGGGATACGAATGTATGAGACACAATGAAATATATCGTTTAAAATTTAAGATTTAAAGATAATTCAGTTTAAAATGGCGTATAAACAAAAATAAAAAATAAAAATAAACGGTTGACGAAAATCAGAAACGCTCCCAACTCACGTATGTATAGATATGATGCATAAGCATAATAGGAAACATAGGAAAAGTTACTTTCTATTTTTAGATTTTTAAAATGTTTGCACTATAGCGAAACGGATCAAAACATTACGTATTGAACTGGATACATATAGTTTTATTTTTTTTGGAAGACATAACTATTTTATTCTTTCAAGAATGTGTAATAATTACCAAACTTGGTTTTAATTGGTCAAACTGTGTACTAGAAACTCTTCTTTCTTTCTTTCATTTCCTTTTTTGTTCTTCTGTTTTTGTTTTTTCCGTTTACTCTGTTTTAATCCTTTCATCTTCTTTCTTCTCCAAACAAAAAAAAAATCCAACAAAAAAAATGGCCAGTCGTGATAGTACTGCGACCTCTTGGAAAGTCTTCGAACCACCTGCTTGGAAGCCGAATGCAAGCAAATCACAAGAAGAGAATATTTCAAGTTTCTTGTTATATTTTGCCGATGTTACACAGAAGATGAACAATCATCTGGCCTTAATGCAACAAGGTACCTCTAAGATGGAGCGCAAAATGGAACAAGGAGAACTGAGCAACAAAAGAAAGCGAGAGGTTGGTGGTGATGAGCGTGAACAGAAAGTAATTGTGTTTGAATCAAATAGTGATGGAGATAAAGTCGTGATTGAGGAAGAAGGTGGGACCGAAGAAGAAAGCGAAAGTGAGGAAGAGGTTGAAAGTGACCTAAATTCTGATTCAGAAACCAAGACTGAAGAAGAAGTTGTTCCAAAATCAGATGCATCATTTGAATCAGACAATGGTTCAGATTTTGGAAACTATTCTGATGATGATGATGACAATGATAGTGGTTCTGATTCTGATTTTGGGAAACACTATGAAGATGAAGGAACAAGCGAGGATTCTGATATGTACAGAAGGAAAAGTCCATGATTGAAGGCTGTAATAGGTGATTTTGATTAATGTGATGCATTTTTGGATCTTTTGTCATTTCTTTTCCTTTGCTGATCTTTAAAAGTGCTGACATGAAGCAACAGTTGTTTACAGATTTTTTTTTGCTCTTTTATATTTGATTACAGAAACTTATGAACTAGTTGTGAAGATGTAGTTTAATCCGTAGTTTATGCAATTAGTACGTATGAACAGTAGGTAGTAGTTGCTAAATGATTACACTTATGATGTATAATTAAGTAATCGTTGATCTTGTTTTAAAAGCATTAGTTTTGTGTTGAATTTTATTGTTTATATTGCTTATATTTATGCTTGGTATAGGTTAAATGATGATGCGGTCATATGTGAAATTAGAGGGTTACATATTAGGTGGTTTGATTAATGGATATATTTTATTGTTCATGTATGGAAATTCAGCATTTATTTGTAATCTTTTGTGATGGTTTATGGATATAGCATTTGATGATTCTGTAGACTAATTATTCTTTTTACACTACTCTGAAAGAATGATAAGGTAGAGTATTTATTTGCTCATTTTTATAGTGATTCTAATAAGTAAAGAGATAACATACTTGAAGTACTTAACCATATAATATTTCACATTATATTTACATAATAAGCAGAAGGTCATATGGCTACAATATTATAGAAATAGAAAGCCACTTCCTTCTGATATTCTAAGTACATAATGCCTGATTATTTTTTAAGGCACGCCTAAGTAATTAGGCAGCAAAAAAACAATACTCATTACATTATTTGTCCACCTTGGTACTTTACAAGTTGTGTTACATAGGAACAGGTATTGTTAAGAAATCTGGCTTGTTCCTATTCAACATTACATTCTTCAAAAGGTTTAATCATAGGGGATACTTCCTTAGTTAAAGTGTCACTGTATAAGAACAAGTAGTCTAAGGATTCTTGTTTCAACTGGAAGCCACATTCGCAAAAACTTCAACACTAAAGCCTAGTCGTAATTAGTAGATACATAACAAAAGATTTAATAGATGAAGCTGTTGCCCAACTTATCTGCCATAAGTCTGGTTTTGATGTGTTTTATTTAGCTGTGTTTTACATGTGTAATTTGTGTAACTATTTCACAAAGTACACATGTCTGAATTGCGTTGTCTGTGTTGTCTGTGGACAGAATCATAGGTAATTTTGTCATTGCCTTTAAATTTGAATGCAGACTGAGCACTCCTTGTTTGCATTATGATTTATGATCTTTGGTTAGGTATTGATTGTTGAATGATAGTGACTTCTCCGTAGCATTCTAAGACTATTACACTATTATTCATGCTTATTATTTGACATCTAGCTTTCAGTTTTTTAGGTTAAAAGTTGATATACCATTCAGACATGAGATAAATCCTCTTTACCCTTTTGTTTCTCAGAATTTTAATATGGCTTAATTTAATAGAATTTGTTTTTATTTAATAAAGTTTAACTGAGGTGAGTAGTAAGGTTTTTGCTGATTGTGAAAATTTGTTAATAGAAGATTTAGATTTGGTATTGATTTCCCTTTTAGGGCTTGACGCTTGCTCTCTTTTTCTTGCCTAACTGCCTGTTCTTTCTCTGGATAAATTATTTCTCCCCCGAAGCTAATAGCCTTCCCTGTAAGATCAGCATGAGAAGCTTGTTTTGCTTTTTTTTTTTTTTTTTTTATTGGAGTTTGTCCTTTTGACTGGTGACTGTTTTGCCGGTTTATGAAATCCTTTGCTGGTGTAGTGATACCAGTTTCATCATCAACATCATATCTCTTTCTTTTCTGTCCAGAATTTTCAGTGTAAGATTGAGTAGCCTGATTTGCTACAGCCATTGATTCTTAGGAGAAAAGCACTATGCTGGCGTCATGAGTGGTAAGACAATCATACACATTCTGACCTGAAAACTCCTTCTAAGCCCGGCCTTAAGAAAGAATCAAAGGTGAAGGACAGGTATAATTTAACAAATTGGTCGGCCTTATTGTCACGACAATAAGCAGGCATCTTCCTCTTCCTGACTGAAAATTTAGAAGTCAATAGCCTGAATAGTCTCTTTCTTTATGGTTTTTCTTAAAACCTCTGTATCTCTTGCCTTCATTTTAATGCATGTGCCAGTATCAGCATCTTTGGTATCACCTACTGTTTCTGTAGCTTTGATTCCAGATTCTTCACGAATGGTTGTGGAACCGCAATCTCAACAGAATGCAAGAAACATATGATATTGAGTTGGCTGACAAATATGTTAATTTGAACAAAGTCTTTTTACTTCAAATAAGGAGAAACTTCGACTTCCCACAGACTTACTATTTAAAGGACATAAAATAATTCTGATTTGTTTAATTTACATTGTTTCACCTTTCTTTTGAAGAATTCATTCGAAATTTCATCACTTAAATCTAATGTTTTAGTTGAGATATGAGAGTATTTTGATTATTTTAACAGAAATTAGAGATATTTTGCAGTTTTAGGAAAGAGATAATGGAGTGGAAAAGTTGGAAAAATTTTGAGGACAAAGAAAATAAAGTATTAATGCTTCTTTTTTTCTAAAAAAATATTGCATTTATATAGAAAAGAGAAAAGGTATTTGTTTTGTTCTAGCTTATAGTAGTTACGTGAGGGAATAATTAACTTGGTCTGGTTACACATTAGATCTAAGAATTGCTTGAATTTCTTTCTTTGACTCAACCCATTTTTATTTTAATCCACCTAATCTAATTCCTTTTTATCCCAAACATCCATCCAAGACATTTCCTTACCTCCTTTTATGCTTTTTCCATCATTTCTACCAAATCCAACCCACACAAACCTAATTTTAACCCTAATCCGAGCTTTGTGGAATAATTCGGAATGGAAAAATGCGTCTAAAAAAAGCTATCAAAGATCAATTTCCTTCACATATGATAAAACTGACTTTAAAATGCATCTCCATAGATATGGATATTGCCACGTCATGACAAAAATTGTCTTGAAATGATAAAATTGTTGTGTCACGACAATAATATTATCGTGGTACGACAGTTGCCAGCGTGCGTGACAATCTTGTGTTGCCGCGACAATTTCTCTGTTCTTTTTTGCGTATTTTGCTTCTGTATATCCTGTAAATCCTATCTTTCTGTTGCACCACATCATTTTAGTCATGGCACGGGAAATTCCAACATGTAACGACAAATTCTAATGTGGTGCTACAAATTTTTTTCCGTGTTTATTCTTCTTCGTAAAATTGTAACAACATGTAATGACAAATGCTAATGTGGTGCTAATGTAACAACATGTAACGACAAATGCTAATGTGGTGCTATAATTTTTTCCGTTTTTATTCTTCTTCGTAAAATTCCAACATTTTTCAATTTTTATTATCCCTTACCTAAAATTGTAATCAGTATAACGTATACTTCACTTACAAGTACAAACATAAAATCACACAAAGTTGGATTTTAATAAGCACAAACATATTTCAGTGGTACACTTATTGCTTAAGACATGTACCATTAATTATTATATGCATGCGTTGAAATGACGAATTGAAGTGAAGGGTCTGGGAAATGGCAGTTCCCCAGATTATGCGTGCCAGATTTATTTATCTCCCCCATTAAATCATCATTTGCGCTTAACATTGATTAACCACCATCATTACATATCCAACCCACTACATCCACTCCCTTGCAGAATGTCAACCGTCATTTTACAGTCTACATATAAGGCATTTCACTGACTAAGTTACTCATCTCAAACATTTTCAAAGATAAACAAAGATTAAAAAATAACTGACTTCCTTCTATTCCAAAAAAACAGAGGTCAGACTCTATAAAAACGCAAAAAAAAAATAAAAAAAAAAAAAAAAAAAAAAAACAAAAAACAAAAAAAAAACATGGATGTAGTAGCACAAAGGCGAAAAATTTCAACTTCCATGGTTGACAACCTTGCGGAAGTGTTAGCGACCATTCTGTGTTGTGCTAAGTCGTCTCATGCAGATTTATTTCAGTGCAAAATAAGGGAGGATTCATTTTACTTATAATTTGTTCTCTGTTTCTCATTCCCCTATACACAAAGATTTTAATAATGTAATTTTTGGCGTATGACATGAAAAAGTTGCAAGACCTTGCGAAGGATAGCCGAAGAAAAAATGGTCCTTCAACAAATTCACCTCCCTTGGATTCAAACACGAAGGTGGTCACACCGAGAAGAGGCAGACGCATTCTTCATGAAGTGCGTGGAGAATGAACATCCTGAAGCTCTGCTTGAGTTTGGATTTGTAAGGCTTCTTTCTTATTACTTGACAATTTTATTCATTATAATATTAAAAAAAAACCTATTGATAATTGTTAAAAAATTTCTATTTTACGTTATTGTAGCGACAATACTTCAACTATATGGTGGTTGACGAAGGGTTGAAGAGGTTGGAAAGAGCAACTGCATTGCAAAATACAGAGGCAGCATATATAGTAAGCCTCATATATATATACACCGGGGAAGAAGGAAAAGGTGTTAAGCTTTTGGAGAACACTATCAACAACATCGAATCTGCAGGGATCGTCTAGTGCAGAAGGAAGTTACGTGACATGGCGAGGTCAAATTGGATGAGAAATAAGTTCTTGGTAGATTATATGCCACAACCGCAATTATTTTGCAAACAAAAACTACAGCACGAAAAGAACTTATCTGCATGGGCTGGTCTTTATGACGCGGATGCTGAAAATACAATATCTTGTTTAACTTATAAATGTGTTAGGGAAATAAGCGTGTTTTATACAATAGTACATGGTCTACTCATCCGTCACTTATGATAAATATTATCTGTATAATGACATTTCTTTTTTTAACTTGCAAATTATGATTTGTTAAATTTGTGTTTCTGTTGTATATAATAAAATGTTTTACAGTTCAAAACAACACACACAAACACAGTAGTTTACAATATTAGCTGTAATGTTCTCAGCTACTCCATAATCAAACAAACCTATATTAGTTTACGTTGTATCAAAAGCAAAAATTCAGGACATA